TTTCTCTTTTCTTTTGTTCAACTTCTACAAACCCTAACATCCAAGGGAGTTGATACTGTACCGTACCAACCAATATTTCTACATACCGGTTGGTGCACGAAAATTGGTCCGTACAACTCAATTTAAATCTAAAAAGGGTAAATTTCATTTTTTGTCCTCAACTTTAATGTTTTACATAATTTTCATTCTTTAACTTTTTTATGTACTTTTTTAGTCCATCAACTATAAAAATATTTTTTTTAGTCCTTCTATTAATTACTCTGTTAAGTTTGTCTAAATATATACATTTTTAGTCCCTTAACTTAAAGTAAATGGAGAAAAAATATGTATATATTAGAAGTTGAGGGACTAAAAATAGTCATTTTAAACTTATTTTTAATTTATAGGAATATGGTAGTTTTAAACATTAATATCTCTTATTTTATTTTAAAATTTGATATTTAATTTATAAAATACATATTCATAACGATAAATCCAAAAAAGTATGCGAAAATTTCTAGTATCCGGTACGTACCGTTCCAGTAGCAAAACCGGTACGTGTGCTAGTACAATATTGACAACTTTGCTAACATCTCAACCAATCTATTCATCTCAACCAATCTCTACCCTTGTTGGGTTCTTCATCATCATCAAATAACAAAAACCACAAAAAAAAAAAAAACAGAAATTTTTCTTTTTATTTTTTGCCCTTGGGTTCTTTTGAACCCAGGCGTGCTAGGTTCTATCGAACCCAAGCATGATAGGTTCAAAGGAACCCCGCACCTGGATTTAATTGAATCCAACATGCACCCTTTCTTTTTCCTTCCTCTTCTTAGCCTTGCCTTCTTCATCAATCAATTCTTCTTCATCATCAAACAACAAAACCAAAAAAATAAAAAATAAAATAAAATAAAATTTTTGCCATATTGAAGGCATTGGAGTAAGGTTTTCTCACAAAACTCTTACCTAGTGGAGGCCTTTGAATCTGTGTTTCAATCATACATGTGGGTTCCATCAAACCTGCCCCTGGGTTCCAAAGAACCCACGCTTGGATTCCCTCGAACCCATGCGTGCTGGGTTTGAGGTTCTAAGGGGAAAGAGAAAGAGAAAGAGAAAGAAAAAAAAAAAAGAATTTTTAAATTTTTTTTCTTATTAATATTTTTGTCATATTATTATTTTTTTCCATGTCATTATTTTCTTTGCCATGTTGTCTTTTCACGTGTATTAAAATTTGACATGTCATCATGTAGCTGTAAATTAGCAAGGCATGTCATGAGATTTTTAATGGAAGGACCAAGTCGGGGTTAAAACGGTAAACAACATAGATCAAATTAGAAATTTTTGAGGTGAGGGACTAAATCAAGGGTTTGTACAATAGTTGAGGGACAAAAATGAGGATTTAATCTAAATCTAAAAACAGGTCTTTGCTATTTATGGGACATAAAAATCTCAAATCCATCTATAAGTAGAGGTTATGCTCACTAATGACCTGGGGTGAAGCTACATTGAACAAGGATCTGTGCCCAAAAAAATTTTCAAATTAGGCTAGGCTCAAGAATGTTAAATAACACTTTTGTTAATTTTTTGTTTTTTCAGCAACGGATTTTTAAAATTTAAAAAACTTATCCAACATGTAGTTAAAATTAAAAATGTTGACATTTTTAATATTACAATATTCTGATTTTTATTTTTCTATTTTAAAATTTTAAAACTTGGTGTGAAAGCATGTTGTTGCTGATTTCTTTTAAGAAGAAAAAAAAAATAGTTACAAGAAACTTGAAAGCATTTCGTACAAGCAAAGCCCCAGCTGGATCCATGGGGGATTTCAAAGTATAAAATTATAAAGACCAAACTGTTGTCTTTGGAATGCTCAAGAGTCAAGACCCACACACCAACCGCTGCCGTCTTCCCTCCGCTTATTCTCTGGAAAAAAAGGCACCGTACGTCATGGCATAATAAGAATCCCTAGATTTTAATTCTGATTATTTAGCTACTTGTTTCATTTATTAATTTCTTAATACTGATAAAGTCTACCTTTCTTAATGAGTTGATTAATTAGCTTAATATAGTAGCTTATGCATCTCTGTTGTTTGAGCTGTCAGGTGATCACCAGCAATCATTTATCTTACCTTGCCACAAAGTCGGAGATCAAAAGAAAAACCACTGAAAAAAGTGGGAAAATGTGCTATTAAAATAGAAAATAATAAGATTTTCCTTATGGAAGCAATGCAGTATTAAAAAAATTTATCCTCAATTTTGTATAATGTGTATGATTTGGTTGACTTTATCAATTAAATTTTTTTAAAATAATTGTTTATAATGTTTAAAAATATTAATTTATAAATTAATTTTAAATTATTAACTAATAAAATATTAGTTGCTCTATTAGGTCATAACTATAATTATTAGTTAATTTTAACAATCAATCCAAACCACGCCAATATTGAGAAAAAGAAAATAAGAGTTTGGATAATATTACACACATAGATAATGTATGCTATATTTAAAATATATATTATGCAATCCATACTATGTCAAATTTTATAACATTTATTATTAGTTGGGGCGGTGAGGTCTTTAATATTAAAAAGTTGTCTTATACAATATTTCTTGATTTGTAATTGACGCAACAGATGATAAAATAAGAAACTCTATTTTAACAGTTTATTGACATTGGAAATTGGGGAAAAGGGTGAATTTCTACAAAGGGGGAATTAAACACCCAACCCTGTGGCCCAAACACCTATAAAGTGAGGGGGTGGATTATTAGGACAAGATCGCTGGTTTACTACTTTATTAACCATACAAAATTTCATACGTTTAATTAATTATAAATTAGTAAAAAATATAATTTTTTAATTAAATTGTTATAGATATTAAATGAACTTAAAATTTAACAATAACTTACTTTTTTGATCAAATTTAATTGTTTAACTTTCTAATTAAGGGTGGTTTGATTTAATTATCTTACTTTATATTTTAATAAGATATTAAATATTAATATTTCAATTTTACCCTTATCTCTAAAAAAAATAAAAATGCATTGAAATTTTTTTGTTTAATTATAAGTAAAGGTGAAAATGAAAAATAAATCTTAATTATTGTAATAAATAAATTTTTTAATAATTATAAATAAATAAAATGAAATAACTAAAACCAACCGAAAAGAGTATGATAATGTAAAATGTATAATTCTTTAGGTATGTCAACTGATCCTTTAAAACATTGATTATTCTTTAGCTATATAGATAGAATAATTAATTTGATGACTAATTTTTTAAAGCATTAACTACTACGAATTAAAAATTAGAGTCCAAAGTTTTACCATTTATGCGCCACAATATGAGTTAATCTTTTATCTCAAGGTGTGTTGTGGTATAGTTTGAGATGGTTTCTAAGATATATCATATGGTAGAATGAAAAAAAAAAAAATCGCATTGACATTAAATTTTGAGTTCAATATCCTTGCCTTGTTCTGAGGAAAATTGAGAGGAAAGGACGGAAGAGGCAACAATATCTTTCTATTTTCCGTCCCTCACCTTCTTTAGAGCCCAAAAAAAAAACAAAATTTAATAATAATAAATAAATAAATAAATAATAGCAGTGTCCCCCGATTTAAACAACTTGATATTTATAAAAGAAACAATAAAAAAAGAATTCGACACAGCTTAATAAATACATTTTTTAAAATTAAAAATAATATTTATATTTTTTATATAAATTAATTATAAAAAATAAAATCAATTTACTTTTAACTTGTATTATTATTTATAAAAAAAAAAACTATGCCACTAATAATTAACAAAATATGTTAGAAAAACAAAAAAAAAAAACAGTTGTGACCAATAATCTCAATAATTTAATATTAAACTTCCTTTGGTAGAATTATATAGCATGCATATGAAATCTAATCTCATAAAAAATAAAAAATAAAAAAAGAAGAGGCATTTATGAAAAAAGGTGAAAGAGTAAACTTTAGAAATTCCGAACTGAAAGGCTAAATACACAACAAAACAAAACCTAACGGTCCTCGCGTTGAAATTTTCCCTTAACAAAATTCATTCATTCTTTCTTCTCGTTTCACTCCAATTTCTTCTTTCCTGATTACCTGTATTTCCCCTTCATAATTCCATCGATTCCGCCCCAATTCTCACCCCTGAATTCCTCGATCCTCTGATGGACTGTTCTCCATCTAGCTATTTAGATGCCTTCTCTTTTCACCGTTCGGAATTAGAGAGAATCGAATTGAAATGATTCGTCGATTGAGAGAGATTGATTGATTTCATTGTGTCGTTTGATTTAGAGTACCTCTGGTTATGGAAATGAGCACGCTGAAGCGGGTGACCATGCGTGACCTGGTCGAGGAAGCCAAGAAGCGGGCTGTGATTTTGGCCATATGCGTCGTGGGGCTGTCGTATCTCATGTCATGTGAGTTCTCAATATCGTTTCTACTTAAATTACTAGAAAATTATACTATATTTTCAGTTTGTTTCTAATTTTTCGAGATCAATTGTTAAGTTTTCGCACAGTCCGATTGATGTGGAAGATCACAGTGAACTTGCTTTCTCTCTTTTTTATTGCTTGGTGATCAATTGTGCTGTCTTGTTCATCAAATTTACTATCTTAGAGAAATGGCAACTATGGTTTTCAAGACTTGGGGTTTTAAGTATTAGTCTTTGCTAAGGAGGGAAATGGGTTTGGAGGAGAATGGAAGTTTTGGCTAGAGGATGCAGAGAATATTTCAATTCAAATACAGGAGGGTATTGGGGAGGTAAAGTGAGAATTAAAATATATTGCAATGCTTTAGTTTCCGTGGATTTATTTCAATTCATACGTAAGGTATCATTGGAATGTAATATTTGGGCCTGGTTTCAGTTTCTTTGATATTATCATTATTGGGGTTGGATATGCACATTGCACAGAAGTGGATTCCTGTAGAGAGTGTTGCTAATATTTGCACAAGTTTTTGAGTTTAAGTTCAGCAGAGTGTATATGGGTGGTGGGTGTGAAAGCAAAAGAAAGGCATTGACCTTATTTTGGTGCTGGTGGTTGTGTATGTTTTAGTGCTAAGGGAATATTAACCTTGGTCATTAATTTGGGATTTCTCAGCCTACTATATTGTACAAACAGCTTGTCATTTTAGACTGTGAGTACTGACCAACTTGTCATGGAATAGCCATTTCCTTTTGTAATTTATAAGCTCTCTACTATGAATTTATCCTCAATTTCAGCAGCGTTATTGCTTTACTGACCATGCATATGTTGAGAAACCTGATTCTCACCGGGTCATCTTTTAAAGGACTAATTTCTGGCTTTGCTTCTTCTCAAGTTTGAATTCCTAGCTGTTATTGTCTAGATCATGAAATTAGACCTAAATTAACATCAGCAATTGGAAAAATAAATAGAAGTAATCTTATATATTTGAATTTACTGGGGCAAATTTGGTTTCTTAATCTGAGCTTGAGCTTTTGGTGAACTTGGGCAAATCCAAATAATATTACTTTCTTGCATAATATTTGAGACCTGGACTATGGACATGATCAATCAATTGCAATTTCCATGTTGTGAATTTGATTATGTGCTCCATTTGTGGCTGTGGTTTGGAAATGTTCCTATGAAAATAAGATGGATGCATTCTTCCAACTAGAAAACTGAAAGAATTTTAGAAGAATTGATGAAAATGTGGGAGAAGAGCTGTTTTGGTGGAAAAAAAAAAGCACCAAGAGTAGAGCTACGAGGACCTCCGATGATTCAAAGGAGAAGAGGATCCTGTGCAGTTGTGCAGTCTTTTGTGATTCAGCAAGATAGTAACATAGTTCCAGTCCACATTTTTACTACCCCTCATATCTACATGTGAAACATTTGCATTGTTCTCTCCACACTTTATTTAAAATAATAAATCATCATGTCCGTCACATTTTGCGAGTCAATTTGGACTTAGGATTTGAGAATTGCAGGTTTGGATTATACACTGTTCAGTTATTTGTTCTCTGCTTCAATCTTCTGTTGTGTCTTAAGTAGCTAAGCTAGACATTTTCTTCTTCTTTTTTCTCATATCAGTGACAAGCTCCTCAGTGTTGGTTAACTTGCCTGTTGCTGCTTCCTTGATTGTTCTCCTACGATATTTCTCTCTGGATTTTGAGATGCGGAGAAAAGCTGCTGCATACAATGGCAAACCAGCATCAACAAATACATTGACTCCAAAGGAACCTCCAGAACGTCCTAAAGTTGCAGAACGGTCTAATTGGAGAATGAAAGTAAATTCTCCTGCTGTTGAGGATGCAGTAGATCACTTTACAAGGCATCTTATTTCTGAGTGGGTGACAGATCTATGGTACTCTAAATTAACACCTGATAGACAAGGGCCAGAAGAACTGCTACAGATAATCAATGGTGTTCTTGGGGAATTTTCTGATCGCATGAGAAATATAAATTTAATTGATTTACTGACGAGGTTTAATTCACTCCATTATCGTTTTCTCCTTATGGATTTACTAAACTATTTCAATTGGGAACTGATTTTCTTCTAGGATGATACAGGGACGTTATTAATCTCCTTTGTACCCACTTAGAGCTTTTTCGTGCAAATCAAGCAAAGATTGAGAAGCAGCAATCTGCGTTGCTGACTATTGAATATCGAGATGTTGAAATAAGAAGTATCCTGGCTGCTGAGAACAAATTGCATCCTGCTTTATTCTCCCCTGAAGCTGAGCACAAGGTTATTCTGTTTTGATTTTACCTCCCGATCATGCTAAAGCAGTTGATATATACAGTATACTTGCACTAAATAAATGCAATTTACTTCTTTATTTTTTTCTATCTTATGCTAACAATAATTGGGTTCTGTTCAATACAGGTTTTACAACATTTGATGGATGGTCTCATATCTTTAACATTCAGGCCTGAAGACCTGCAATGCTCTTTCTTCTGTTATATTGTTAGGGAGCTTCTTGCTTGTGCCGTAATGAGACCAATCTTAAACTTAGCCAATCCAAGGTAAATTTCTCTTCTATTTTTTCCTTCAATCCTTTCATCATGTTCTTCTTTTTGGCATTCATCTTGAGATTGGATGCAGATTTATAAATGAAAGGATAGAATCTGCTGTCATATCGATGAAAAAGGCCAAAGGAGTTACCACCACAGAAGATTCCTCTCAAAGCAAACCAAATGGTTCATCAAGAATTCCAGCTGATCATTTTTCTAGGTTTCTAGATCCTTCTGTTACTGGTGTCGAACTCGTGCAGTTAAAAACTGATCAGTCTAAAGCAGCTGGTGCAACAGATAATCTGAATGGAACATATCTTTCAAAGGATCCATTGCTTTCTATGGACACACGATCCTCCCGTTCATGGAACACCCTGCCCATGAACTCGCAAACTGGTGTTGAAAGAGGTGTTCAACAACATCGTTCTGGAGGAGAATGGGGTGACATGTTAGATGTCATGTCACGTAGAAAGACAGAGGCCCTTGCACCTGAAAATTTTGAGAACATGTGGACAAAGGGGAGAAACTACAAGGAAAAGGAAGGTGAAAAAAGGTTAGTTGATCAAGTTCCTCAGCATTCCTCTAAGGGGAAACCTGTTACAGTGGATCATTCAAAGGTGGTGACTAAGTCCAAAGAGGAGCAGAACCCAACCAAATTAAACTCATCTGAAAGCTCCACTGTTCATTCTGGATTTAATGATCGGCACACAGTACAAAAATCTTCTCCCAAATTAGCTAAAAAAGCATCAAATTGCTCTGTTGTGTCATATCAAGAAAGTGATGGGCACAATCTCAGTCTTTTGGAGGAGGTAGAATCAGGGAGCAGTGGTTCATATACTTCTGAAGATGAAGAAACCACTAACGTAACAGGTCTTGATTCTCCTGTGAAAAAAGTTTGGGATGGTAAAAGTAATAGAAATATGACTGTTACTCACATTCATCATCCCCTTGAAAATCCTGAGGGCCATGTTACCAAGAAAACCAGTAGAAAGCATGTTCAATATCAAAGATTAGTTAGAACACCATCTGGCAGGAAAAGATCTAGATTTAGAATTCAGAAGTTACCAGTTTGGCAAGAGGTTGAGAGGACAAGTTTTTTATCCGGAGATGGACAAGACATTCTTTATACTCCAAAAGCAGACGATTCTACTGATGATTCTGAGACTGAATTCTTGGGTAGAGTTCACAGTGGAGCAGCTGCTTCTTCATCTGCAGCCTCCATCTCTGTGCCAGAAAGTCATAGCCTGACAGTTAACTCTGTGCAAAATTCATTTATGGCAGATTCATTTTATAAATTGAGATGTGAGGTACTTAATATGACATCCATATCAGGCAGGGTACTAGAATTTCTCTTCTTTTATGTTATTATATAAAGCTTGTAAGGTGATTTGCTTTTGCAGGTACTAGGTGCAAATATTGTGAAGAGTGGCTCTAAAACATTTGCTGTTTATTCCATATCTGTTATGGACGTAAACAACAATAGTTGGTCAATCAAAAGAAGGTGCTTGTCACTGTGCTTCTTTCTGGTTTGGCCTTCAATGATGCATTCTGTTACCATTTGTCACTGTGTATGCCCTTGGTTGAATGTTCCTGACAAGTTAAACCAATTATATTACTCATTTTTTGCTGTTTTTCTTCAGGTTTAGCCATTTTGAAGAGCTGCATCGGCGTCTCAAAGAGTTTGCAGAGTACAATCTTCTCCTGCCTCCAAAGCATTTTCTATCTACGGGCTTGGATGTTCCGGTAATTCAAGAACGGTGTAAATTGCTTGATGGATATTTAAAGGTAAAATATTTAGAATCACATTTTCCCTGATGTTTTTCCCTTAATGAAATAGATTTGTTCAACTGAAGTAGATGAGTGCACTATTTTACCTCTGTGTGGAATCATTATGTTTGTTTGGCTGTTTTGAAGTAATTGATTACTATGGAACTGTATTCTTCTTCAGAGTTTTTCTTTTTTCGTTTGTTTGCACAACAATGGCAATATGCACACCACCTAATATTTTTCCTTTTTTTTTTTTTTTCTGGGTTATTAATTGCATTTTCAGAAGCTTCTTCAGCTTCCTAAAATTTCAGGATCACTAGAAGTTTGGGACTTTCTAAATGTTGATTCGCAGGTTTGCACTTTTCTTATCTCTTTCACATGAATTTCTGTATCCCATGCCTTTGACAAAATAGAAAGGGCAAGGGTGCTTCTGGGTACTATGTTGAATGTCTTGCTTTCATGCCAAGTTTCTTACCACTATGCACTGTGTAATGCAGACATATGTATTCTCAAATTCCTTTTCTATTGTTGAAACGCTATCAGGTGATTCATGTTCCATGCAGAAGTTTGGCTTTGCTTTGTTTGTTCTTTTCTCCCACTTTGTCTAATCTTATCTTTTTTTGCTTGTGAACTTTCCAGTCAATCTAGATATTAAGCCATCTGAAAGGGGTAAAGAAGTCTCAAATCTTTTTGGGCCTGTGATGAGCCCCTTATTGACCGGAAGAGAACATTGTGGCACTGAAAGCAAGGAATCTGCCCTGCCAACAAAGCATAACCTAACAACTGATGGTTTAAGGAATAGAAAAGAAATTACAAATTCCCTTGCAAAAAATCCTTTTGGAGAACATGGGAAATCATTAGCAGATTTTAGCATTGATTCTCATTCTAGGGTGCAAAATACCTTGTCTATCAAAAACATGGGTAAGAATGATAAAGTGGAAGATATTGGTAGACAGGAAGATACTTCAGAGATGCTTCTTAATGCTGCAACTGACCAAGCTCTTCCTACAGAGGTATTCAGTTGTTGTCATGTTTCTGTTGTCAATATTTTACAGCCTTCTGGAAGAACTAGAAAACATTACGTTTTTCTGTTGGGCAAAATTGACATCGCCATTGGCAAAGCTGTTTATTTCTAGGAAGATTATGGTGTTTTCTAGGGTACAGGAGTTTTTAATAGACATACATTCTTTGCAGTGGGTGCCCCCAAATTTAACCATTCCCATACTAGATTTGGTGGATGTCATTTTCCAGCTTCAGGAAGGTGGATGGATCAGGTATTGTGACTGAAGAACCTGGAAATTCTGTGTCTTATTTTTTTGATCTTCAGCTTTGCAATATTGCATCTGAACCAGATATGTAAGTTTTACTAGGGTACTTTTCTTGCATGTGTAGGCGGAAGGCTTTTTGGGTGGCAAAACAAATACTTCAACTTGGAATGGGTGATGCACTTGATGATTGGTTGTTGGACAAGATCCAACTTCTACGCAAGGGGTCAGTGGTTGCTTCAGGAATTGAGCGAGTTGAACAGGTAATCCTTTAATATCAGCAATAATATCAAGAAATGATATGGGAAGGGCAAGGAAACTCGAGTGTCATACGGCTATATTTTCCAATTTTTTGTGTTTTTCTGCCTTTGGCAATTTTAACTTTAAAAAGAAGGAACAGAGACTATTGATTTCATTTCACTATTTACCCATGCATGAACAGTATTTGTTGGTACAAAATTTTTAAAATTATTGCAATTTTGGAAATATAGTTTTCTGTTTTCAAGTTTTTACAAACAAAACCATGTTACTGAATGCATGTTTTGTTTTATTCTCAACGTTTTGAAAATGGAAGCAGAAAATGGGAAACAAAAATGTTACCGAACATATTCCTTATCATATAAAACATTTGGTGGCTATATCCAGGATCTAAAATCAACTTTCTTTCTGCTGGTGTTGGGTGCGACCAATATTTTATATCCTAGTCATTGTATCAACTCAAAGAAGAAAAAACAGAATACAACAAGAAAATATTTCTTCTTCTGCTGTTGCAGGAATACTTTAGAAGCATTTTTGTGGGTACATAAACAATAGGTGCTTTTAATTAAGGTTATTTTCACTTTCTAGGTTAAGTTCTATTTTTCTTGCAGCCTATGGTATATTAAATATTATGAACTATTTTTGGACTTGAAATTACTGATTGAAGATCTTTTACATATTTGGGGGTACTGAAAGTAAATCTACGGAATCATTTTCTAGTATTGAATATAACAGAAGGCTATTAAGTGCTTGTATATCTTTCCTAACCGTATGCTCTTCTCTCATAGATACTTTGGCCTGATGGTATATTCATAACGAAGCATCCAAGGCGAAGAAAGCAGTCTTCTGTCAGCTTATCCCAAAGTTCACCTCGTGGTCAGCAACCAGCAGTATTATCTTCACCTAGGTTGAGTGAAGAGCAACAACAGGAAGCTGAACGCCGTGCAAAATTTGTTTATGAGCTATTGATTGGTAGTGCTCTCTTCCTATAAGTTTCTTATCCATTATCTGCATTTAAATAGGATGAGATGTTCATGGAATGCATCCTGCCAACCATGGAACTATATTTTTTGAACGCAGACAATGCACCTGCTGCTATTGTGGGGCTTGTTGGTCGCAAGGAGTATGAACAATGTGCTAAAGACCTCTACTTCTTTCTTCAGGTATTTTTAAGAGGATGCTTTTCTTCCTTGGTCATTTTGATATGGTTAGGGATTAGTCATGGTGTAGGATTTGTTTGTTTAATTTCTACAATAATTTAGGATCATTGAACTTCTAAAGATGCCTTACAGTTAGGCACTCACATTTCAGATGGTAGTTTGGTGATCTGTCCTGCACTCATATCATATGCAATCTTGAGATGCTCTCGTACTCAGAATCTGTGGCAGTAAATAAGTCCAAGGCTTGGTTTGAGAACACTAGGTTGTAGCTGTGGCTATAGGTTTTTCGGTCTTTTAATATCTCAAGATTATATAAAATATATTTAATATATTTAATATTTTATATATTTTTGGGATGGTCATATCTGAAATGGGCCCCAAAATAAAACTTTGTTTCTGTTAAATGTGCATCCAACTTTCCTTACATTTATAATTGCCTATATTTAACCGTATCATTATTGTTCTTTGCCTTTTTCGCAGTCCAGTGTCTGTTTGAAGCAACTGGCATATGACCTCCTTCAACTACTGCTTCTGTCTGCATTTCCTGAACTGGATTATGTCTTTAAGCAGTTGCATGAAGAAAAGCATAAGTTTGGTGAATTCAAAGCAAACTAGCGGAATTCCATACCTTGATTTTCAACTACAGAGATCAAAGTTATAAGCGTAGCCAGGAGTCTTTTTTACTCAGGTGCATTGTTTGCAACATGTCTGATGTTGTGCTTTGTTAAATTGCATGTGGAACATACATTCCATTTTTAAAGTGGCAAGAGAGGATCCGTTCATATAGATACAGGTCCAAAATTCTGGACCAAACGAATTTGAAGGAAAAAAGGAAATACATGTCCAAATTTCTGTAGTTACTTTTTGTATTTGACTTTATAGAGGAAATTTTATGTAAATCCTGAGAATAGTACAAAAGTATACTACAAAGCCTTTCTCTCAATCTGTCTGTAAGTTTCCTCTTCATTTTGGTGCTTATGTGGGCATTTGATGTAATGATATAATCATCCATTACCAAAGCCATGAACTAAGGAAGGAAAATGAAATTTTTACATTGGCATGGTAGAAAATTAAGATATTTTGACAAAAATATTAAGAATGATAATAATAATAATAATAATAATAATAAAACCTAATTATCCTCAATAAATTAGCATGCAAAAGGGGTATACGTGTGTTGATTTTCACTCTTCTGCTTTACATTAACCAAATAATTGCCATGTCCAAGTAACCAAAAGGCTATAGAAATCATTTTCTTTCTGCTAAATTTCCCAACGGTTGGAACGTGAGTTTCTAGCAATGTTTTGAGGAACGACTAATTGGATGACATTTTATGAATTGTCCTGGGAGATCTAGCAAAGTCAGAAAACATGGTCAGCAACCACAAAACCCATCTCTACCAGGATAACTTCTTGAAACAATATTCATTCAAAATACTAATGTTGTGTTTGGTTAGTCTTTCCAAAGGAAGTCAGTGCTTAAATGTGTTGTCTGCCTATCTTAGATTGCGCTGCCTCTTACTTTCCTTGCAGGAAAAAGGACTCCGGTAGGTATCTTTGGGAAACAGGGGTGGCCCTATTGGCATACCCAAATTTGTTAATATCCTTTGTATCATCTGGCCATCTTAAATCTTATTGTGTGGAATTAAAAAATTAGGATGTGGCAATATCCCGCCGAGGAAAGAAAGGATTAAGTCACTAAATACCCTGATCTACAGCAGAATCCAACAGTAGACGGGGAGCAGTTTCTAAAACAGGTGGATACCAAACAGGCCCTTTCAGCAAAGGCATACCCAGTGGTTTTAGACTTTTAGTAGAAAAACATGTATTTCCTACACATGATCATATGATTAACAAGGGCAAGTACTCCAAATGAATAGCCATGCATACATTTAGACCGAATAAATAAGTTGTAGAGCATCATAAACAAAATCTTAAAAATCATTAACTTCAAGCATAACCTTAATTAAACTGTAAAACAATAATATCTCCGTAAGTACTTCTCAAAATTTAAAGCAGATACATAACAAGGAAACAAAAATCCACTAATGATCAATTGTAATAACATTGATAAAGCAATGTTCTCATAAAATTTTCCCTAACACATAACTTCAATTGAGAGGCCCAAAACACCTTAAGCAGAAGCTACTGCAGCCTTCTTCCTAGGTGCTGCTTCAGTACCTAAACAACATTAAAAGAAGTAAATAAATAAACTCTATGAAGAAAGAAAAAAACTCTATGAAGAAAACAAAATATCTTAAATAGAGTAAAATTAGGATCCAATAACAAAAGAAAAATGCATTTTACCTTCTCTGAAGCCAGTCTTGAACCTGCGAGGGACATGGCGGAGATACCTCATCCTACCAGTTCCAGTGGTCTTTCTGCGGATGGCCTTCACACTCCAGTTATCTAAACCCCACAATCAAAACAAACTTTTAGAGCTAAATTATCATCACAACAAACCCACATACAATATATCCTCCACCAATAAGTCGCATTATACCAGTAAATATGCAACAAAATCAAGCACAATAGCATACATATCTACATAAGACCCAGTAACCAACAGACAATTCATAACAACACCATTTCTGTATGCACAGAAAAAGCATCCATAAAGCCTTCTTTTTACCTTTTTGAGTGAACTGAATTTTTCAACCCAACATGATGAAGAATGTATAAACATATAGTTAACAAAAAGAGTTACATCAAATCAAAGTATAAACAATGGATTAAACCAACATATGTTCGTGAAGAAGAACAAGAAAGTCATCCAAACTAGATTCAAAAAACGGAGTCAATGATGCAGTAAATAATAAATTCTCTAAACAATTCCACGGGACATATGTCTAGATAGAAGGCAGAGAGTAAAGAACTAACATTTCCTCTTGCGAGCAGCGGGGAAAGCGCAAGCGGCGCAACGGCTCTTCTGGAGGTGGAAGCTGCGGCGGCCACACCTCACACAGAGGGTGTGGGTCTTGTTTCTTCTCTTACCAAAACTCCCTGTTCCCTTACCCTGCACATCAATTAACACACAAACATCAGAAATACAGCCATCTGCCCAAAAAAAAAAAAGGGGAAGATAAACAAATTTAGCTATGGAGAGAGAGTGCGGCCGCGCTGGGTAGTACCATCGGAGCAGCTGCAGGAGAAACCCTAGCTCAGGAGACGGTGTTTTGGGTTTGGGGGAGAAGAGATGATATATATTGGGGTGCGCAAAGGAAGGGTTTTTTAGGGTCAAAGAAATGGCCTCGTACGAGTTGGCCTGTTAGAACATGTAAGCTGTGCAGCCCAATGGGTTCTCCATTTCTGGCCCATAAAGTCTATATTTGGTCAATTATTGAGAAAAAAATATATATGCTAAATCAAATGGACATGCTAGCAAATAAGGAATACATATTTCATGGTTCCATCAATTTTTCTAGTAAAAAATAAATATTTCATGATTGCATAATAAGAGGTAATAATCTTTTTTTTTTTTTGGACCTATTACAATTCAAATTCAAAGGAATTTCTTATTTCCTTTAGAGGAAAGTTACCATTAAATCACTATAATATTTTTATACAATATTTTATATAATGTGACATGAAAGTCACGTATATGATTAAAATCTTTTAGTTAATGAATGAAATGTGTAAATGGATATGAATTTACTTATTATCTACTATATCATGTTATAAAACCATTGTAGATAAAAACATCATACCTAAATCATCACTGACATATATATTATATATATTTTTTTATATATGGACAATTTAAGTTGTGGTTAGTTCAACTTGTCCCCATCTTAATGCTAATTCCCCCTCAAATTCAAGAAAATTATAGAATACTCACCTATAGCACAACACTTACTAAATGAATCCAATTTTTGGGATTCCAATACAAGTACTACTACATTGTAAAAGAAAATTCTAGATCAATGTCAAGCAAGAAAGTCCCATATCAAATAAGGAATTGTAAATTTTTTTTATGACTTTACAAATAAAATGAAGCTTCCGGCCACTAATATTAAATGATTTAGCATAGTATCATGATCTATTTTACCTTAAATAAATAAATAGAGACCTTACATAAACAATTAGAAACATACAAATGAGATCATTAAATAACTAACAAAAGTATAGAAAAATGTAGATAAAAAAACTAAAAAAATTATCACATAATACTATCAAACTCTTCACAAATAAGGACTTGATTGTGGAATTCATAACCATATTTTGTAGGCTATGAGAAGTGCACAAAGGGTTTAGATTCCCACATCATTACTTACTATCTTGATATTTTAGATTTTTTAGTCGTACAAGCTTTTCTAAAAAAATCTACATAATTTTTTTATTTCTCAATATCTTCATCATTCAAATTGCACAATCCTACATCAGTTTATATATAGAAAAACATCTGAAATTATTAATCTTATATTCTAATGAGAAATTATCTTGGGTTCACAGACAGACTTTCATATTATAGAAGTACTTTTGCTTACCAACTTATCCTTACTAGAAATTGGGAAAATGCGCCAATCAATTATAACAATTGGCTTTGAGATGACACACCGACTGCAAATAAAGAGAAGCTTTATTTACTTGCCAAATTGTAATAGAAATTATGAAAGATGCAAAGGCTATTATTGGTTTTCTCTATTTTTTTTTTTTTATTTCCCGATTATCATTGCACTTTGTTGGTCTTGCTTGTATTTTTTTTATTTCTTGCTGATCATTGCCAAAGTATACTCATTCATGGCAATCCAATTAAATTTCCATTTTGTTGGTGTTGCTAGTTTGTTTAATTCTTGAATTATTGTTCTGT